GGGGTGCAGAAACAGGAACGGCCGGGGGGGGGGGAGAGCCCTCAGTCACTGACCACCTCCATCGGCCCACTTGAGGGCAGAGCCTCCTTCAAGCGGGCTGGCCCCAGTGCAAGGGAGTACCCCCCCGCCTCTTTGGGGGCAACCCATCCACCCATCAAAAGGACAGCTGCCCCCCCACCTATGGCCCAGACAGCCTAGCCCCCCCCCATCGCATTGCGAGCCTTTCTCCTCCTGCTCTTGAGCTGCCGCTTGCCCTTCTGCCTTCCTCGCAGCCCCCTCCCCTCCTCCTCCTCCTCCTCCTCCTGCTGGACTGTTAGGGCATAAAGGGGGAGGCTATCAGCTTTTAGCAAACTGGAGGGGCCGCCTGGACCCCTCTTCCCATGAGCTGCTTCTGGGAGAGGAGGGGGATCAGCCCCTCTCTCCTCTCCTCCCCGCCCACCCCACCCCTCTCCAGGGGTGCTCCTGCTGACTTGGAAGGGGCCAGCGTGTGGCTGAAGCGCCTCCCCAGCCGCCACGCGTGGCTCCTCCGGCGTGGTCCCTTGTGGTTCCGCCTTCCCTCCGGTCCCCTTCCTTGCTTGCGTGCTCAGAAAAGCAGAGTTAGAATTAGGGGGCTGAGCTGAGCTGCCTGCCCGCCTGGGGGCACCTCTCGCCCTGACCTTTCCATCAGGTTTGCTGCCCCCCCCGGCCACCCCCACCTATTTCCCCTCTGACTGTGCATTGCTGGTTTTGGTGTAGAGCCAGGATCTCCATCCTTCTTCGGGGGGGGGCTGACCCCCCACCCCCTTTTCATGCTGTCTCCCCTCCAGCCAGGGTTGCCCTCATAGCCGCAGGGTGGGGGCTCAAGGGCAGGCTTGGGGGGTGGCCTGGCTTTATTCCTTCCCCTCCCTTTGTGGGAGCGCGAGCCTAAGCTGCCAAACACACACACCCCCAGAAGGGAAGGTCTGGCCCATCACCCCTGTGACTGGGCCGTGTCCCGTTGCCATCATCCTGCCTCAGGATCTGTCTCAAGCGACCCATGGGAGGGTTCTCCTTTCTAGGCTGCCTTTGGCCCCCTGCCTTGGCCCTGGCTGCCCTCCCCACACCATCCCGGGACGCTTCCGTTGGTTTTCCTTCCCAATGTCTCTCCCCGATTGTTTGTGGGCCAAACCTCTCTGGCTCTCCCCGAGGAGCCCTGCCAGCAAAGGGAGGCCACGGGAGGGGAGCCCCCACCCAAAGCCCCTTTGCTAAGCTTACGAATTTGCAAGGAGAAAGGAAGGAGGGATGTGGAGAAGCTGCAGCTACAGCCCTGAAGCCACCCGGCCCCTTCGGAGGAGCAGGGCTTGCCTTCCTGGATCGGGTCCCCCTCCTGCCTCCCTGTCCCTAGAGGGCACGCCGAGGGCAGGGCGGGCCAGAGGGACCTTTTCCTGGAGGTGAAGGATCTAACCCAGTGGCAGGTGGGTGAGCTGCACCCCGATTTTCCGGAGGACAACAAAGGACAAACACCTTAAAGACTAACTGTTACGTTTTAAGGTAAGCGTTCATGGACCTCTATCCGCTTTGTCACACGCAGGGAAAGAGAACGGAGTGGAAAATGAAATCTCAGCTCCAGAAGCAGAACAATTGTCTAAATAATCATTGGCTCTTGCGGATGTGGAACATCTTCATGCAGTAATCTCTGGCCTTTGTGGTTTTAGGGTACTGTTGTCAACTTTCCTCCAGGAGACAGAAAACAGACACCAGGCCTGGACAAAGATGGACCAGGGAACAGAGGGGTATGTTTTTTGGGGGGGGTCTCTGAGAAGGAGCAAGCCACGGATTCTGTGGAACCAGCCCATGGTATTTCATTAAAGGGGACTTTAAAAACGTGGCCATTTCCCTGTTAGCTCCATTTCTAGTGCTATATTCTCTTAAAAAGCCCGCCATCGCCAGAGTCAAGTGGGTGATTCAAGTTCTACCTGAGAATCCTTCAAGACAATAAAACAAGTTTTCAGAAATTTACTTTATTTGATAAACTTCTAGGGACAGACCAACACTCTGGGTAAGAGACAACACAATACAAAGAGAAATAAATATGACGAAATAAATATCTAGGTCCCTGAACAACATTTCTAGCAATAATACAAATACAGACTTAAAAGCCTTTACAACGAAATGTATATCAGTTGTGCAAGGAAGAATAAAAACAGGAAAAGGTTTGGAGATCTTTAAAGGGATGCAGACACCGGGGATGGGAGAATATTTTTATTAGACCAGGAATTAAAAGTGCCAAAGAGACCGGCCTCACAGAGGCAATGCATCCAGTGTCCCACCCCCAACCGACAGTCCTTTACGAAGGGTGCCCGCCTGGCACCGCTGGGTATGAAGATAAAGGAGACTGGGACCCCGAGGTGGGTCTCGGCAAGGGTGGGTGGGTGTGCCAGGCGCTCTGCTGGGCCACAGGGCACCCCGGGGGGAGGAGGGGGCCCGGGAAGGCTGCCGGGTGGGCGCAGCAGGCAGGAGGAAGGCAAGCGGCAGGGCAGAAAGTGCTGGAGGCGGGCAGGGTGGCCGGAGGGACCATGGGGCAGGGGGCCGGGAAGGGGCAGGGGGCTGCCAGCACACAGGAGGGGAGGTTGCCCCAGAAGGAAGCAGGGGACGGGGGGCCCCAGGGAGGAGTGGGGGGCAGACAGCACCCCAGGGGATTAGGGAGAGGAGGAGGAGGAGGAGCCCAGAGGGACAGAGGCGAGCCCTCTGCCCTGAGGGGGTCCAGCCAGCGCCCCTCGGGGTGGGGGAAAAAAGAGGCCGCTGGGGGGGCCTGGCCGGGGGTCTCCACAGCGTTGGGAGGAGGAGGGCCCCGTGGCTCTGCCTTGGGGGACCTCTGCAGCAGGGACTCGATCATGAAGGATCGGGGCCGCTCTGCCCCTCCGGGGGCGCTGGGGAGGGGGGCGTAAGGGCGGCCCTCCAGGACGAAAGGCGCCAGGTCCGGAACAAGAGCGCCCCCGTTCTGCCGAGAGACCGGCGTGTTCTGGAGCTTCAACGCCCCGGGCGGGATCAGGTCCACGTTGACCCTCCAGAAATTTCCTTTCGTTTTAGGGTGCGCCGGGTCTCTCAGCTCCTGTAGGAGAAGCACAGAAGGTGAGGGTGAGAAGCCTGGGAACGGGGTCTGTCTCTGGAGAGGGTCCCCCCCCCAGCACAGCCACCTTCCTGCACCCACACCCCATCTTCAGTGGAAGAGGCCACGGAAAGGAAGCCCCCCCCAACCTCAGACAGCCCCCCTTTTCCGCCCAGGGACTGCCTGCACTGGCTTTTCTGCCCCTTGCTCTGGACACTTCCTATTGCAGGACGGGGGACCCCCTTTCCCGGCTCCTCCCTCCTCTTTCCCTTGGAGGGGGACAGACTGGCCAAGCTAGGTTCCTGGATAGGGTCCTTGAGAAGGAAAGAGGACTTGTGGACCCCCCCTTCCCTAGGGTGAAAGATGAGGGACCAGCCCCCCCCCAAAAAAACGTCCCTCTTTCCACCCATGGAGCAGTCCTTGCTTTACCTGAAAAAAGCAGGCGTTTGAGGACAGGTTGTGCCGGATCGACTCCTTCCAGCCTTCATATCGTTCCTCAAACGAAAACAACCTGCCAATTTCCCGTATGATCTGGAAGAGAAAAATGGATTTAAATGGAGAAGCAGGCCTGCGAGCATCATCTGTGGCAGACGGACTCCTTCCACCCCCACCCCCCCGCATCTTTCTTCCAACCTTCCTCACAGGTGTCCTGTGGCCCCCCCCTTCAGTATTCACCCCCCAGGACCCAATCCGGGCATTGCACCCTGGAAAACGGGAGGGCTGTATCTGCAGAGACCCCTGACAAGGGGGAAGAGGGAAGGCCTTCCACCCCCAGGACAGTTGCCCCATCTAAGAGCGAGGGGGGGGAGGAGGAGAAAACCCCTTGTCCTGTCCTTCTCACCCAGAGGAAATTCTCCCATCGAAAGGAGGGGGGTCTCTCCTCAGAGACCCTCGCAAAACCTAGAAGAAAAGGCACCAGCCCTTGGAGTTGCCCAGGAAAAAGGAACTTCTTCCAAGCCCTGGGAGGAGGTGCCCAGACGGGACTTTCGCCCTCCTGCCCTGGCAAGACCCGTCGGGCACCTCCTGACTCCGAGGGATGACCCTGGGAGACCCCCCCCCGCGCCTTCTTCTCCGGAAAAGCGGGAAGAGGACTCCAGGGCATGTGCAGAAACCCCAGGCCTTCCCCGTCGTGTGGGCTGGAAAAGAAAATCCCCCACCAGTCCAAGGCTTGCAAGGCGGTCCGAGCGAGGAAGCGCTCTAAGCCCCAGGGGAAGAGGGGAGCCTAGCCCCCCAGACAGCCCAGCAGGATTTGGCCGCCCTCGCTGGGCTT